AGTGAACAGGCTTGTGGCTGTGGTATTTAGCATTCATGCACATTGGAGCTTAGGATCTAGTCCTGCCACTATCATCTTCTCTAGATTGCAAAACTAGTGAGGAAAGCAAGGACAATGAATTTTTGTCTATCTCCAGTGTGTAGTATTCGCTAATACCTATTAGATAAATCTCTAGGATAACAGATGTTTTAAAACATAGGTACTAAGGCTGTTTTGCTTGAAGATTTGGATCTAAGAGCAGTCTTGGTATTTGAAGGACTGTAATTGTCTAGGTCCTGATAGGGAAGTAGGATTGGAGGAAGTCTTGGGGGAAATTTCATCTGACATTTGTTCAGTGCAGGTTTATTGGTGCTGTTGTATACGATGTATGCAAAGATGAATAGCATAATTCCTTCCCTGGAGTTCCTTATGGTCTGTCTAGCGAGGCAAGTAGATCTGTAAACAATGAGTGTAACAAGGGTTATAGATGTAAAGAAGAAAACAATGGCTAATGGAGCATAAAGGAACAATCAGTTTCAAAGATTTCAGTGTGATTATTTTTATGATGAGCTTTTAATAGATAATAGGTGTTCTTCAGAAGGTAGGGATCTAGGTGGAGAGAATAATCTAAGCAGGTATGAAACAACAAAATGCAATAGAGAAAATAAGTTCTCACCATAGGGCTAGTGTGTGGGGGTAGTGGGGAGGCCTGTGGCTAGGAAAAGGAGAAAGTTGGAGAAAGAAATGGGAACTGATTATATAGGGCCTGTATGCCAAGTCAGGGGGTTTGTACTATATCTTAAGGCAGTAGAGCTCCATCAGATTTTAAGCAGGGACGAGGTATGTTTATATTTAAATTTAAGAAAGAATACTTTGGAAGCAGATGTAGGTATGATAAAATGAGTCCAGAAGAGGAGAGACAAGGGCCAGAGCTAAGACAGAGATTGAAAAGAACAGACACAGGAGGAGTCAAAGATGTGGATTCCATGGGAATTTGTCACCTGCTGGATGTACAGAGAGAACTTTAAAATCTAGAACTCACAATGTAGACTTCTTCCCCTCTGAACCAGGAATCTCAGATGATTACGGGTAGAGTCTTCTCATTTTACCCAGTGCAGCCTGGACCTCAGGCTCCTCAGCTGTGAAGCGAGGGGGTATAAGACTAGACTGAAGAACACAGTTGAGTCACAAAATGAAAATAAGCAAGATACCTGCTTGGCAGCCCACTGCATTTTCCAGCTTTTCAAAAAGTGTTCTAGTGATGAGGGGGACCAAAAGGATATACACTTTTCCTAGGGGAACATTTTTTTAAAAGTTGAAAGGAACCTAGAGAGCAGGCTAGAGAATGGACGTCTAAGTCACGTCAGAGAGAGCTCTCTGCTGAAGTCAGGCTGGCCAAGATTGTATAAGGGAACACGCATGAGAAAGGCCAAAAAAGGGGAGAGAGAAAACAATGTTTGAAATGTTAAAAGCTAAGAATGACCTAAAGTTTTCAGAAAATGTAAAGTTGCCAAAAAGTCTTCCAAAAAACCCTAAGTCAAGACAACAAGAAAATGGATAAATGAATGTAACAGATTAACAAATCAGGAAAATGGAGTAACTCAGTAGTCTGACTTGATAAAAACAAAATGATAAAACTTACAAAACTGAGAACTAAAAAATAACACCTTAAATAATTTCAGGGCATTTAGGCCCAAACTTTGGTGTCCCAGAGAGCTCCTGGAAACTGCAAATGCTTTCAGTTAACTACTGGGAATTTTCAAGAAACCATGGAAGATATAAGGTGATAGTAGACTAGAAATGAACAAAGATCATTCCAGTTCTCAAGATAATTACAATTAATGACTTTAGCTATTTTTCTTAAGTAACACATGTACCCACATTGAGATGTTAGTTGTCTATATTTGGGAGAAAGATTTAAACAGGCGTACAGAATAAAACAATTTTTAAGCCCAATTTTAAAAGACCCTGAAGAAAACAAGTTGGACTTAATTGTTTGAAGCTGGTTATAACTGTTTTATGTATTCATTAATACAGGTTGGATAGGACCTCTGCTTGGCAACTGTTTTTTAGCTGTGTTTGAACTTTTGTATGTATTTCCAAGTAATAAAACTATATTTATAAAGTATTTCTATATTTGAGACTTTTTATTAATTCACTTTGCCATAAATAGTATTATATAATGTGAACATTTTGCTCAGAATCCAGATAACCAGAATCACCAGTTTTTTCTGGTTTTAGATTATTTAATAGTATTTGAATCAGAATGGAAAGTTTTATGAATCCATAAGCTGATTGACTCAAACCTAGCCTTTAGTCGAAGCATCAGAGCTCCCTAAACTCATTTCAGAGAATTGGTCTTGGTACTAAGACTGGAGGGTGCTAGATGTCCCATGAATAATGTAAATAAATTACTTGATTCTAAAAATAATAAAATGGAGGAAGAGCTGGTCTACCCTTAGACAACAGGTTTTGGAATCACTGGAGGGAGAATAGTGCAGCTCACAAATTATTTTTCCAAAACTCCCCCTTACCACCCTCTCCCTCACCTTTTTAGGGAATTCCTCTATTAATGCCCAGGACAATTACCATCACTGGTGGCCCCACAACCGTCTGAGTTTTACAGTACCCAGTCTAATCCTAAATTGGAAGCACATCCCTTTTCCTTATCGCTATGTGAATGCCCGGGAAGCAGGAACTATTCTTTGTATTCCTAGCAACCTAGAGCGCTGCAAGTGATCAATAAACCTCTGGTGGAAAAAAAAAAAAAAAGGGCGAGAAACATAAATGAATGAATATAGGCCAAGAAAGCATCACCATAACTGGGGTGGATTCCAATCGTCTGATGATCTTATCAGTCACAAACATGATTGGGGAAATCCAGTCACCTTGAGTTGTAGCCTAACTTGCTATGGGGTCCAAAGACTTCTAGCCTAGAATAGATTAAAATCTTTCACCTGCTCAGATACATGCCTGGAGTGCCCTCTTGGGCGGTGCAGGGTTCTGCAAGGGTGCTGGATACTTTCCTGCTGACATGACACATTTTCTATGAGGTGCATCTGACTGCTCAGTTTCCCAGCCTTATGGAAAGACAGATGATAGTGAGCTGACAAACACCAGGTGTGGTTCACAAAACACATTTACCACTTAGCAAGTGTGAGTTGTCTACTATTGCCAGGCCCATGCAGTGGTGAACAAGAGCATGCCCCTGCCATCATGGAGCTTGAAGTTGTGTGAAGGAACAAATAGAGGAGTAAAAAGGTGACTAATAGAATGTGGCAGGTGCTCTGCTGAGTGCAGCACAGTTAAGTGTGGAGGCATGCTTACAGCGTTGGGGTCAGGAAGCAGTTTCTTTGGCTAGGAACAGAAAGAGGCTATATTTTCCTAAATCTCATCAGGCTCCCTCTCCCCTCCAGGAGAATTCTATTAACGAGGCTGTCTTTATTCTCATCTCCTGCTTCAATAGTTTAGGATTGCTTGGAATTGCTTGTCCAGTTGTTTTTGACAACTGCAGGCCTCTCAGGTAAAAAGACCTTGCTTGTTTACCTGTTTTGTGTTTCATGTGTTTTATTTTTGAGAGTGAAATGGAGTGTTCATAATTTTACAGGGAGGACAGATGTGCATTAGGGCTGATCCAGACAAACTGGGACGTTGGATCACTCTAGTCCTACTCATTGTGCCACCTTAATAACTAAACCTTTAAAAAGTCATTTTAAGGATTTTTGATATATATTTATCAAGTCTTCACTCATTTTAGTTGTCTCCTTAATGCTATTTTTATAAATACTTGATATGTTCATTACCTTTTCTTTGAACCTTGAGAAAAAAAAATAATAGTAACAATTACAATAATGACAGTAGCAACTAATATTTGCAGTTTATGAGAAAGAGAATGGCCATTTGGGGCACTTAACATATTCTTTTAATCTTTAGGACCACCTTGTGAAATAGGCAGAGTATCAAGGGGAAAGTGGGGGTGCCAGCAGGGGAAGGCTAAGGAAGTCCTGAGATGTTGACCCCCACTCGAACAGACAAGGGGCAGCAGCAATCTGTTATAAAAATTAAATCTGAAGAAAGACCTAATGTCCATGGAGAATTAGTAAATGCCAAGTATTTTCTTGTCATTACTATCAACTCACTGAGAGGCTGTTTGGTGGAGTAAGTATATGAACCTGACTAGCAGGGACTTGGATTCAAATCCTATCAAATGCCTACCTTCTAACTTCAGCCCTGCACGTGCCGAATTCCAGTCTCTGCTTGCCTCACTCAGCAATTCCATTCCTGTTGCTGCCCTATTTCAATACTAAGCCAGCAGATTATAAATCCTTAGGTTCCTCATATTCTGGCCTCACTGATGCTATGTAAGAGAGAAAATAAGCCAAATTTCCTCATACCATATCTTCAGTTACTCAGGTCCTATGGTATCCTCTCTCTTTCAAGTCAATAATTTTAATTGGGAAAAAAGAAATAACCTTTACCTCCAAATTCTTATATTTTCATTTTCACTTCCAAGTCCTAGAGATGTCTTCTGTTGCATCCTTTGTTCCTATGTTAATATACAAACATGAGTACTGAGCAAAGTTTGGTTATGTCTCAGAAAGCTTTTCCACGTGTCAATACATGGCCCTGAAAGACATCAAAGTGCATGTGCTATGACGAGAGTCACTAATAAAGCTTCCTTCCCCTTCTCGCCATACTTAACATTGTAAAGTACTCCAAGCAGCAGACCACAGGGTCTCTACCTGAAAGAAGTCTATAGGCCAGCTGGGAAAATCACCGCACCACAGAGGAAAGACTTTTATACCTATAAAGTAGAATTTACAAATGAAAATGGGAGCCACTGAATTGCAGTGGTCAAGAAATACTCATGTAGAGATGGAAAACTGGACCACGGAGGTCTGGGACACTGAAAGGGAAACTTCATGACTTTCTCAGTGGGTTGCCAATAAATTTTATGGAATGAGTAACAGGACAGGAAGAAAGCAGACATTCAATATTAAGCCGGGGATCTCAAGGCAGAGAGGTCAGAAAGCACAGATCATTTCTTACATGTAGGAAAGAAAAGCAACTATACCCAATATACGAGAACCCAGGTTTATTACTAACTTCCCAGGCAACAAAAGCAAAATGAACTCAGAGGTTACATGTTTCATCTGACACAAAGCAACACGCCAATTCCTTTTAACAAGGAAGCGATAAAATGTCAGAAGTCATAGCCACTTCAGTCCATTTCCATACGGCCTGCTTCTCACTCACAACAAACATTTAATTCTCCGTTTTCTCTAAGTATGTTGTGCTCTTTCATGTTTCAAATCCTTTGTGCATGCAATGCCTCTTCCCCACAACCTTGTTCTTCAGGGTGTGGCTTATATGCCACATGTTCTAGAAAGTCCTCCCCTTCTTCTCCAGCTGGAGCTGGTCATCCCAGCTGTGCCCTCACCTTACTTTGGCCTGCCCTCTTGTGGGTACTTACCCCATTATGCTGTGATTTACCTGCTGTAGGTATCTGAATTCATCATCCTGAGTGGCTCACGAGGATAAATTCTATAGGCCTAATATTTTTCTATGTATTGCTCTGGCACATAACACAAAACAGGCATTCAATTAAATGTTACATGAGTCAATTTATTGCATGTTTCCTTATATAATCATTATTTAGCAACAAAATAAAAGAATTTAGTAGGCTTTACAGGGATTGTAGGCATTCTCACCACCAGGCCTTTTCTTGTGCTTACCCTTGCTAACACCAAAGGTTTTAACTATAAAGTGGAAAATATCTTTAAGGGCTTTAGCTAGTGAAACCCTGGTAAACATCATTTTTTATCGATTAACCTTAACACAGGAAAAGCTCAAGTACTGAGGACTATATGGGTTAACATAGACTCTTGCATGTTTTTCTCAAATATTAGTCAAGTTTCTCACAGGAGCTGGACAAACACTCACTCAAAACCAGAGCACCTATCTACGGAAGAAAAATCCTCATGCTTTGGCTATCACACGCACAGGTGACAAGGCTGACACTGGAGGTTAAGAATCGAGTGCAATTTCTTTTTGTTAGGGGGAGGGTCTCTTTTCCCTAGGAAACAACTTTCAAGTTTGTTAGAGTTTAAACAAATCTCAGTAGACCAGTGTTGTAAAATAAAGTATCACAGAAATTATTTTAGTTTGGAAAAATGCAAACAGTTTACGCTTAGCCACAGGAAAACCTTAAAATCATTCTTGTACAATGTCTGGTTTTCAGTGGCATTGTCAGGTGGTGAGTAGAGAGTTTGAAGAAATAAAGCTGGGGCTAGACTAGTGAAGGCTGTGAAGGCCAACCTAAGGGATTTGAATTTGACTGCATATGCAGTGGGAGCCTCTGAAAATATTTCAGCAGGGAAAAAAAAAAAAAAGATCTGGTTCTTTTCCTTCAGTCCAGCAATGTGAGGAATGGCTGAGTGTTGGGGAAGATGAAGGAGGGATGTGAGATAATAAAGTCTTTCATTAGAATAATGATCATGAATATATTTAGAAATGGATACAACTAATATTCAAAGTAGAATTGACAGGACTTGGTGCCAGGCTAGGTATAAAAATGAAGGGAATCAAGTTGGTGATCACAGTTTAAGGCTGGGGAATCCCCAGCTGGAATGGAGAAAGCATCTGCCAGTGACAAAGCTGAACTACAGCCCTGATCTGCTGATTCCCACCCAATTCCCTTTCCGTCACAGCCATGACCTGCTTTGGAATGACTGAGAGACAAGTCTCAGTAGGCAACTTACATGGCATAAAAAAAATTAAGCTGAATTACTTTGAGGATTTTTTGCTGTGCCAACTAATTTTGTGATATTAGGTAAATATTTGCCTTTGACATCTTTTATATTTTTACTTCTATTTTGAGTAATATTACACATTACTTCTTGTGTCCCATAATAAATTTCTTTGAGGGTAGCGATGTGGATCTTTGACCACTGATTGATTATAAAATACTCAAGAAATTTCTCTGCAAAAGGGTATCAGGTTATTGAGCACAGCAAGAACCACCTGTTAGAAACCAAATGCTGTTAATGAAAACAAACAGACCTTGAACCGTTTACATTAATTTAGGCTTTTGGGGAGCTCCCTACCTTTTGTTGGGCCTCTGACTACGTAAGAACATGGTCTGACGTTCAGAAACAGCTGAGCGCCATGGCCACGCTACATTTGATTACAGGAAAGAGAACCTTTGTCTCAGGCTTTTGCTCATTTCCCCCCTCATCCTTCCTCCCAAAGATTTCACGTGGCAGCAATGAAGAGCAAAGGGGACCCTGAGAAAGATCTTTCATTTCTGAAGTTAACATTAGGATGGTGTGGTTTGGTTTTTGTACTTTCACTGGAGAAAAATACACACTGTGTATTTATATCATGGGTTGGCTCAGCTTCTGTGACTGGTACTGCCAGTATTCAGTCCTTATCACGGCACTTGAGGAGGGGGAAGCAGGCAGCCCACGGAGGAAGGCTGTAGACTCACAGGATTCTCCCTTCATCACACTAAGCTTTAGCATAACCTAAAAGTTCTTCCTCCAGGAACTCTGGCCAGCAAACCCCACTCTTAGGCATCCTCAATTTTCTGGCACCAGCATAAATAAGAATTAAGTTAGCAACATAAAAGCAAAACTGAGGAAGGAAGGGAGGAGAGGTCATAAGGAAAGGAGCATAGTCTGTGACAACTTAACACTGAGATGGCTTTTTCATGTGGTTTGGAAAAGATCTTTGGCAGCAGCTCCAAAAGAGAAGTTTCAAAAACGTTCTAAGAAATACCAGTGTCACTACAGTAAGTGTATGGCCACCTCCGGTTACCATTTTAAAGGGTAATAATTTGATTCTGTGACTTAGGATGAATTTGTTTTTAAAAGCACTTCTTTAATCTTTCAATTAAATATAAAAAGCACTACTGAAGTGATGGCTATAAACCAGAAATACTATATATATTACATATAATACAGGAATATCAATAATAAATTAAGGTATGTGGGTAAGATGGAAACATCTTAAATTTTATAATCTATTGACTGAATTCAGCTCTATATACTTCCGCATTGGCCACCATTAAAAACGGAAGCCATTGGATTTGGTGAACAAAGAGGATTCTTTAAAAAGTGCAAATGAATGCATGTGCAATCTCAAAGTAAGCTTGCCTTAAAGAATGGGTGGATGAAGCAAATTGAGTGGCACACTTCAATTTTGTGTAGAGAAGCAGCATTCTATGAGAGTAGTAAGTTTTGTAGTTCAGCAGACCTGGTTGACATTTTAGCTTCACTCTTTTGTAACTGAATAACCCTTTACTCTGTGACTCAGTTTCCTTACCTGTAAAAGGACTAATGAGCTCCTGGCAAACAGAAGGTACTAGTACCAGTTCTTCTCAAACTGAGGGCAGTAACCCATTGGTAAATCATGAAAGCAAATGTAATAAGTTGCAACCAACACATTTTTGAAACTGGAAAAAATCAAAGTGTACTAAGCACAACAGTAAGCATTCTGTTATGCATGTGCTGAGTTTTACGAAAACATTTTTTTCGCTATGGGTTACAACCAAAAAGATTCAAGTTCTCAGCTCTAAAAATTCTCAGGTCATCATACCAAAAGTCTTTAGATGTGCTGCCTTTCTCCAAAATGAGCCTCTGTAAATTTTAAGACCTTAAAAGAGTTCCTTACCGTCAACTTGTTGCAGTAAAAATGAGACATGAATCTAGAGAAGATGAATTTAATTTGATACTGCAGGGTATTTTAAGATTGGTTTCTATGTCACATTGACTAATTTCTACTTTTAAATACTTTATCACTTATATGTACAATTTGCAGTTGATTAAACACCTAGAAATTTCTACAAAATTTGGTGACTGGGATCTATTATTGGGAAATTAAATATCATTTCTAAATTTTAAATCATGAAACTTTAAAAAAAATCATGTAACTTGCCTAAGCATGAAGACTGCTGGGGTAACATTTCAGTCCTGATGAGTAGTAAAAATAAAGGCCTCGATGAACGCACATAATGGTGCCCCACTCTGGCTCAGTAGAAAGCAGAGATCCCAAAACAAAACATGAGCTTCAACTACAGGCCTCCTCCATCGGGTGCTGACATAAAACCAGCCTGACGTTCTAAATCGTCCCTACTGCTGCGTGGATGCAGGCTAAAAGCACAGTCAGTCGGGTATGCAGCGTGGGGGTGATATACAGTGAAGATTGGGCCACACCGAAGGGTGGAATATTAGCAATCTCTGACATCAATGATACAGCTAATCTTGATGTAGCTACATCTCAAATTTATCATTTCAACAGACTGGGCTGGACGGGCCATTATTAGGATCTTACCTATTGGACTGACTTTAGGAATCCTGTTTTAAATAAGCATCCTGGGTGATTGTGATCCTCATTCAGCTTTGAGCACCCTTTGTTAGAGGTTCAGAAAACAGAAAAAAAGTTGAGTTCAAAAGTAATTGTTGTAACCTTACAGGTAATCTAATATCAAACACTGGATCAAAATGTGACACGTAACTCAAAATACTTCCTTCTTAGTATTATATTAAAGATACAAGTCCGCATGTAGCAATACTTTGATATTTTCCAGTTATTAAATGACAATAAGAAATGCTGCTTTCTCTCATTGAAATTCATTGGTGAGAGTCAAAAAGTATGAAAGAGAAAGGTCTTTTTAGATTAGACACAGAAGTAAAAGGTAGCAATCAATAAAAGTTGTTAACAGTAAACTCAGCAAGAGAGAAGTGATAAGCCATTCAAATGCCTGATGAGTCTGTGTGGCTCCTGCTCAGAGATAGTTCATACCTTTTGTGGTGCGGGTGCCTATTCCAAGTGTCCTCAAAAGAGTAAAGAGTAAGGCAGAAGGTGGTTCCTTCCTATTTCGAGGTTATGGGATGATTCTGCCTGTAAATTCTTTTTTTTTTCCCCTAAATTTAAAAGCTTTCTGCTGTTTAAGTAGACATTGTGTTGGCTGGACCATGCTTGCTGTCAATGTCAAGTGTTGGGATTAGTACCACAAATCCTTCATCAGCACTGAGTCACGGCACCAGGCTTTGTTTATCATCATCTTGAATATAAGAAAAGGCATGAACGTCTTCACATTTCACAGCAGCTGTGAAAAGTGAAGGAAAACACAGGAGATAGCAAAATCGGGGGATAAAGGGTGGTAGTAACAGAAATGAGGTAGTTCTTAGCTCCTGCCAGGGGCAGCTGAAAGAATTTAGGATCAGAAACACCCAGTGTGGGAAGGAAGATGCCCCAAGAAATGACCTCATGGTCCCCCCCCACCTGCTTAACTTTTCATTCGAACTCTAACGATGCTGGAAATAATTGTAGCTTTGTTCCTTCCTTCTTTCTTCCTTTCCTTTCCTCTCCTTTTTTCCCCTACAGATTTCAGGAAAGGAAAGGGTGAACATAGATGGGAGATAACAGAAGGAAATTGATTATGAGGAAAGTCCTCATTCCACATGGGTAGAACTCACCCCACAAATCAAAGAACTAAAAATTACAAGGGAGGGAAGGCAAAGGACATTGGATCTTTGAGGCATCAGGAGACAGGCTGACAGAGCAACCTTAACGACTGGCTTAATAAATCTTCTACCACTTGAGGTTCTGTGTCCTTTATTTAGAGAGGCAGAAGAGCTCAGAAAACAAGCCAGCGTCACAAATTAAGATATCTGAAAGATGGGCCTCGCTTTTCATTTTCTTACTAATTTCCTTCACCAGAAAATATGGCTGGACCAAACTGTTCACCAAATGGACTCCATTATGCAGTTCACCTGTCCCCTTACAAAATACGAATTTCACTATCTGATAAGAAAGGCTCCTGCACCCCCATTCTTTTCCTTGCTGACAAGCCTAAGTAATCTCTTAGAAATATGGTTAGTTTTAGGGTGTCCAAGTCCACATTTCCACACTCACGTCTTTATCAAAGTTATGGGTCAGTCTTCACGTTTCCAGGCAGAAAATCAGCTCCCTGGCAGTCTTTAAACTTTACCTGATAAACATCATATATCCTCAATCTCTAACACCCCAGCACACAACAAAATATATCCACTCGTCACAGTTCAATCCTACTTGAGTGTCTCTAGCCACTATCTTGATATAATCATGTTGCAAGGGCTGACTGAGTGTCCAACAGCAGCACAGGTCCTCCTTAGGGCAGACATGTTGGTGCCATTAAAAATGAAGTTTGGTTTTTTAACTGCATTTTTTGTCAGTCTGGCTGGAGAGATCTGGACAGCTGGAAGTGAGCTTCTCCATCATTTTCTGTTTCTTTCTTTGTATCAATTTTCCACCTGTGAAGCCCAACACCCCACCACCAAGTGCAGCTGCAATTCCTGCCACTTTGAAGCCTGCAAGGAGGCCAATCGGACCCCCTACTACTCCTCCGATGAGTGCACCTGCCACAGGCAGAGCTGCCAGCTTGTATTTTGCAGCCTGTAAAAAAAAAAAAAAATTCAATTTAGAAATTGAGTTGAGAATATCTGCCTGTGGTGATGTGCATTTTCCTCTCATTACTCCTGGCAATGCCTCTTTAACTCTTGGTACATAATTAAGCTTAGAGACTGTACTGGGGGAGGGAGGATGGCAGGGTGGGGGAAGAAAGTATTCCACAGGTAGTACAATTGCTCCAGATCTCAGAAATGAGAAAAGAGGGGTACGAAGAGCAGGCTGCAAATTGATTTTACTTGCAAAACAATCAATCCACTAACTATCTAGCTGGCTTATTTAAACAGGTTCAGCAGCCACAGATACCTCAAGCTTTTATGTTGGACAGAGATCATTCCATGCTATGTACCTGGGGTTAAAAACAACATTCTATGGAAAATAGCTGGTCTCACTGCACATGTGCTGTCACTTTTGCTCCTACTGGATTTTACCCACATTCTCTTGTAACACGAAATGCTTTATAGTGGGTTTTGGTTTACTGTCTCTTTGAAAAAATTTCTCTCCCGACAGAATGAATCTTAGAGTAGAATATTACAACAGCCATTGATTTCTTGCACTACCTATGTGTCATTTCTTCCTTATTTCCTTAATTGCTGGTTCCCTCAACATTAAAGAGAGCAGATCAATTGGGTTAATACTAGAGATTCCTGGGAGCCAGAGTACCATTGATTTGTCAGCGGGAGCAGAATCTTACCTTCCCCAAGTTTTTGGTTCCCTCTTCAACATTCACAGCAGCACTGTTGACATGGTCTTCAATGCTGTCAATCTTCTCCTGCTGAGACTAGATGCAAAGGAATTATGAGTGAGCGGTCCTGCTGGGGAGCAGCAGTCAGCCAATACACACTATTTTAATTCCTGTAATCAGGGCTCCGTGTACTGCAGTCTTGCAGTCTTAATAGCAGTTCATTAATAGCAGCTGATAAACCATGTCGAAAGTACAAATTCACTTGCGTGAAGAAAAAGGAGGGCAACTTAATTATTAGGTAATAAAAGGGTGGCACCTTTATAGTGAAAAGCATCTCACACTAAAATTCATTCAAACATACAAACATAGTATTCTCCAAATGAATGTACTTTCTAGGAGGAAAAAAATGCAAAAAGGCTTTTACATGTCACATTGGGGCTGACGGACAATAAGAAAAACAAATACAAAACCAACCAACCAACCAAAAATCTTTCTAACTTTACTTCTTTGAAGATTCTATTTAATACAGGCAATTTGCCTTCGGAACAAAATGTCCTTGATCCTGTAAATACGAATTACTGTGTTTCAGGAATAAGAACACAATATGGTTTGATATACCAAGAGATCTTTCCACTTCTGATATGCAGTGAATGAATTTTCTGTACTTCACACCTGTACATTTTAATAGGCTTTAAAATCACAAGTTACAGTGTTCCAGATGAAATATATTAATAAAGCATTCTACATAAAACAACACCTGCACTGATACAGCAGCTACTGTGGCTCTGACTACAAGGAGTGTGTAGGTGGTTAGTGTGATTCCCCTCAGATGTGTGACGCTCCACCACTACTGTTCTGAAGTGGCTCCTGAACTTCTGCTCAATACCTTCAGCGACAGGAACTCGTTACTCACCACAGGTTCACATTCCCATTTTAAAATAAGTTTATTTAGACAGAATTTTATAGAATTTATATACAGTGATATGCATTCACTTTTAGGGTACAGTCTGAGGAGTTCTGACAAACCTATATGCCTGTGTGACCATCATCACATCAATACATAGAGTACTTTTTCAATTCACAGAAAAAAAAGAGGAGAATCTCTCTTTGACCCCAGCTAAATGCCAGCTTCTACAATGATTGTGAAATAACTCAACTTCGATTCTTAAGTATCTGATTGTCCTTATATAACTGACCTCTTTGCTTACAGTGAAGCAGATAACACTAACACTCATTCTAATGCCAGTTACATCTTGTTTGGGAATATGAAGCCTACACAACACCATTCATTTCCCCCCAGTTGCTTCCTATCCGCAGCACTGACATTGCTTCCCTCCCCACATGTCCAGTGGGCACCTTTCTCTGTTAGCCCTTCCACGGTATTCCTTCACTTCTGTGTTCTCCATCATATCTTGCCATCTGCACACAATTCCTCAAGCAGTCCTTTATCAGTTTTCCTTCCAACTCCAACAGAGGTTCTCTGTTAAGTGGGCACCAGAATCACTTTGAGGACTTCTTAAAAACACTGATTTCTGTATCCCACTCTTAGATTTTCTGATTCAGCCGAGATGGGATGAGGCCTGAGAATCTGCATTATTTCTATTGAGTTCCGGGGGATGCTGATGCTGCCTGTTCATGATTCTTACACTTTGGGAACCACAAGTATATGTCATATATACGAGATAGGTTGATGGGCACAGTCTCTGGTCAGATGTCCTGCTTCTTGAATAAGGAGTACTCAAAGGCATGACAGTGATAGTTAGGCAGCAAGCTGGTGTTAAGAGCTGTGCATCGGGCCTCCCCTGGTGGCGCAGTGGTTGAGCGCTGGGTTGCGAAGCTGCCTGCAGCCTCTGCAGCACTGGTTCGACCCCTGGCCACTGATGAGGGTCCCACATGGCGCGCAGACCTCTCCTGCCGCAGCTGCTCCCCTCAGCAATGTATTTCGTCAGTCTGCCTGTTCTGCTCCCCGCTCTGGCTCTGGTGAATTCTCTCACCCTCCCGTGCTTCTGACTGTACCCAGTGCTTGTATAAATAAATAAATAAATAAATATATAAATAAATCTTTAAAAAAAAAAAAAAGAGCTGTGCATCATTGGCAGCAGCACGCCAAACTAGATCCCATCCAGAGCTGAATCTGTTCACCACTTGTCTAGTCTTGGCTAGAATGCTGGCTCTGAATGCTGGGCCAAACCACACACACAGCCTGACCCCAGCACAGGACACCAAGTCAACAATAATAGCACCAAAGAGCCGCCTCAACTCTACCTTTCTTTTACTCCTATTTGCTTATGCTTGTTTTCACCTACCTGGGCATCCCATGTTTAACAATCTTCAAACTCCCTGACACTTTATGCTCTGACGCTTCATATGTGATCTCGGTATCCCTTTAACAAAGAGTCAAGCCATTTATGAGGGACGCACAGTGTTTCTCAAGCTAGAGTAATGTACACTTTTTTTAAAGGAAAAGAATTCTCAAGACTAAAAATGTGTGTATGGATTTCATTTTAAGAAACACTGATCCCTTTATCTGCCTGAAAAATAAATGAATCCTAGTGAGCAGTTATAAGAACACCTAAGATTCTGAAGACAATGTAATTCATTAAATTAGTATTTGTCAGATAGAAAGCAATTTGGGCATGTGAAGTGAAGCTAATGAAGAATTGTTTTCCCCTTGCATGTAAATGGAAGAAGCAGACATGCAGTTGAGGTTAGTGGAAAGGAAGGGGGTGGGAAGTAACAGACATCATTTATTTTGGTCCTGTCATGATTTTTACAAAGCTCATTGTAGTCAAATAACAGCCTAAGATCACATAGGTAAAAGATGGAGGAATTGGATATAATACATTACAACTCAATATTGATGCATATAGAGTAAAACTGGGTTCTAAAAACCAAAGGGAATAGAGTCAGAGACAAAACAGGACCAGCAGCAAGGGTGGCGTTCTGTCGAGCAACTAGTTCAGAGTTAAGTTTCCCTGGATTAGAAGTAAGGCTGGCTCTAGTTATAGGAAGAGTGTACTTTAAAAAATGGAAGAAAATTGCCACAAAGTGCCTAGCAGATGGTAGTTCATTGATATCTACTGGATTACACCTGGACTTTCAATGGCTTTGTAGATTCTACTACTAGCGGGGTAAAACATACATACCATAAAATTTACAACTTTAACCATTTTTGAAGTTTGTAATTTAGCGACATTAAGTACATTCACAATGTTGTACAACTATCACCACTGTCCTACAGGTTGTTTTATACTGTTCTTCATTCTTCATTGATTTGACTTAGCACGGTATCATGCTCCATAAATACATGGTTAATTTGTCTAGTTGCTATCGTGTCCATGTGATGGTAATGAGAGGATGTGGTGATTCTAGTTATGTTCCCAAGTCATTCGGTGCCTAAATGGAGCTTCTGTGAGTCCCTGACCATGTGGTCATGAGAACACAGTCACCCCGGAATAATAATCAGGGGTTCTCCTTTGAGCTTTTGCCTGATAGCATTGTTTCATGTCCTGACACAGATTATTATAAATAGGACATTTGTATATAGCTATGGCTATATCTAAAGTTCTCCTGCATGAATCTTTCTTAGGTTAAATGTTAGAAGCTGCTTACAAAACTCAATCAGATAATAAACTGCTAAATAAACATAAACACTTAATTTTCTTTTCACATACCTATCCCATTGGAAGGGAAATGTGTTTGTCTTGAATGAAAAGAATGCTGTACATATCTTATTTTTAAATCAATTTTATTGAAGTGTACTTTACATGCATTATTAACGCATATATTTTGAAGTGTACAATATATATATATGTGTAACCATACATGATGAGTTACAATAATTGAATAAATTTTGAAGCTACTTTGGGATTCTGATTCTTATTGTTTCATTCCTTTTTCATGTAAATAGATTAACAGGCTATACAGATAGCTAATCCAGAAACTTCAAGCATTTTACTTTCTCTGACTTAGAGGTGTCAAAAAAGAAAATGCTTCAAATAATTTACTGCATTCAGTGTTAGTTATTACACTTCAACAAAAAGAATCCACAAACTAGAAAACAGAGTAAGGAAGTAAGGAGCTAGTACTGAAAAGCCTAGAAATAATGAATTCCAGAAGGAATGAAAACATTAGAGAATCAAAGGTTTGTAATAGAAGGAAATATGGTAAGGTGGAATAGGGTGACTAGAACTGATGTTTACAGTGAACTTAATGCAGAATATGCACATGTTGATTCTCAATGATGTACTCCTGAAACTTACATAATGTTGTAATGCAATGTTACCTCAATAAAAAAAAAGTTGAGGAAAAAAAACTTTTATATGGAAAACAGACAAAACTTGTCAGCATTTAGTTTCCACAAGGAAGAATGTGTAAGAGTTAGAGTCTTCAAATGGAACTTCAACATTAAAGTATGAATTATGCTCTGTAAATGTTAAAGAGGCAAAAGACATACTAGAGATCTATATGAGAAGTTGGGGAAAGAGGATTAGATTAGCCAGCTTCTTAAATCCTTTCTAATCCCAATTTTGAGGTTTTATGATCTAGGAACTTGCCAGGTGTATAGCTCATTTTTCACACTGTGATCATTCTGAAGCACAAACTGCATCACATTACTCTAACCTGCTCAAAAATTTGTATTGGCTCCTTAATGTCTGCAAAATGAAGTTCAAATTAGTATGGCCTCCAATTCCATCATAATCTGACCCTCACGCTCTTTGCTTTGCTTTTCCGTGGTATCTTATGCTGTGGACACACTGTGGTACTTGTCATTGCTGAGAGCCCATATATACTCTTCTCTATAGTAAGTCTTGTTTACCTGCTCTCAAATGCACCTGTGGACATTTCACTCATTTTTCAAGGCTCAAGCAAATACTATCTATTTTTTGACACTATCCTTATAACTTCTACCTCATAACTCCTGTCTCCCTCTCCTGGAATTAAAAGCATCTCCTTGGAGCTGATAATATTTTAGATCCAAGCTTACTTCTACTGACTCTAAATTCTTGAAGGCAAAAAGCAGGCTTCATTTATTTCCATGTCTAACCTCAGCAGACCACAAATACCAGGGATCTAACACTGTACATTTTTATATAATACATGTTTAATAAATATTTATTAAACTGATCTGCAAATTGAGAACAATCAGACTTCCATCTATGACTCAATAGCAGTCTGAGAAAGCATAACTTCTATTAAAGTTCTAATTAAAGCCCAGTGATTGATGAAAGTCTTTTATCCTATTAACCCAACAGTTCTGAGCCCAAAACAGACACTTACCATCACCAGTACGGAGAAATCAGTGACCAGTTGACTAAGTTCAATTAAGTCCTTAAAAAAATAAGAGAAAGGAGTTACTCACTTCTATGCCTTTTATTTTTCCAAAAGTAAAAAAAAATTCTCACATACCGCTTCTAAGTTTTCCCATGATTCTGCAGCATTTTGGTCTCGGGGAATTTCGGGCAAGGCATACACCTGAGTCAAACTCTGGGTATCAGCTTCAGTTTCAGTGGTGTGAAGTACTCCTGGATGAACACAGCCCCATATATGGAGTTTATTTGCTTTGTTAGAAAGTCAATAGCATGAATCAATTTCATAAAACAACTGCTATGCAAAATGCTTACCAGCTAAATTCAGACTAAAAGCAAATTGATTGTTCTGCAAAAATAAATTCATCCACAGGCAGACTATTTTGAGGTTAACAAATATTTTTTCCTTAATTATTCTACAAAGTCAACTCAAAATAATGGCTACAAATACTATCTGTTCATTCTGAATAATTCAAGGTATATGTAGAAGAAATACCAAAAGAGAACTATTCTGTCTGGCTAATGTGAAGAAATGTTCAGTAGAAATAGGGTTAACACTTTTCTTTGCTAAATCATTAACCTCTCCTCTGACTATTTTAGTCATAAATATCAGCTTTACAAGTTGTTTAAAGTAGGAAGTGATAGGTTTTTATCTATGAAAGTAAGTACTAGTAACAATTTGTTATCAAAGTAGCTCCTCTGGCCCTGTATCTTTCTGTACACATTGTCACCCTTTTTCTGGTCCATGCCTTCACTGCTTCACTGTCTTTTGAGTTCAACCCAACAGGGCTTTCCTCATTAAACACTGCCTTAATGATGAATTAATTATGCTCCAAACTCTACCTTCAAGCATTTCTTATTTTCTTGTACTGACTTTATCAATCATTCATTTATCAAACTGATAGTTACTAAATGCCTACTCCATTGCCAAGAAATATTCTAAAGTGTTGGGGACACTATGGCAAACCATAAAAACAGTTCCAAGGAGTCAACTCTGCATACTGATTAGTAGCATAAGCCTAGTCAGAAACCAGACTTAGAATCCTCGTTTGGTTATTTAACTAGCTCTTTAACTCAGCCATGGATTCAAGGTCAAAGACCTCCTTGACTTATTTTTCCTCATTTTTAAATAAAGTGATACTTTGCACTGTGCCTCGCTTACATATCAAGTGAACTTGTTAGATAAATAATTACTACTGCTGCCATTGCTTTGAGAATTGAGAATAAATTTGAATTTCATCTGAAAACATTTCTTTATCTTAAATACCAGATACAGAGTAAGTTTCATATTACAACATTATGGCAAGTATCCAACTTTTTTTTTTTTTAAGATTTTTTATGCATACAAGAGCTGGGGTGTAGGCCAGAGGTGTGGGAGGTGAGAGGATTCACAAGACACAGAGTAGGGAGCAGAAAAGGTGGAATGACTGAAATACACTGCTGAGGGGAGCAGCAGGCGAGACAGAAGAGGTCTGCTGTGCCATGTGGATAGCTCCCTGGCTGGGGATGGAACTTGTTGCAGTGGATGCAGATAGCTTCACAGTGCTGAAACTTAACCCCTTGTGCCACCAGGGAAGCCCAAGTATCCAACATTTTATTTATTTATTTATAGATTTATTTATTTATTTATTTATTTATACAAGCACTGGGTACAGTCAGAAGCGCGGGAGGGTGAGAGAATTCACCAGAGCCAGAGCTGGGAGCAGAGCAGGCAGAAGGACCGAAGTATACTGCTGAGGGGAGCAGCGGGCGGCAGGAGAGGTCTGCGTGCCATATGGGACCCTCCTCTGGTAGCCGGGGAGCAGCCGGGGATGGAACCGACTGGCGCTGCAGAGGCTACGGGCAGCTTCGCAACCCAGTGCTCAACCGCTGCACCACCGGGGAGGCCCAGTATCCAACAGTTTAAAAGCTCGCTCTGATTTTAAAAAATGCTTAAAAGTGTTGTTTACCCTATGTCCTAAGTTAACACAGAAGAACTTTCATTCTTGCTTTATTCAAAATTAATATTCTGATTATAGAAAGAATTCCAGCATCTTTAATATGATGGTTAATAATGATAACTTTGCTAATTGTTATCATAAACAGAAGCTTTATAATGGCTACATCCATAAACTTTATAATGGCTACATCCACCTGAAGATTTTTTATATCATAATCTTAGTACTATTAAAGAGAATCTGAATGAAGTATGACAGGGAATATAACAAAATAAACAGAGATTGCCATGCATAAATTCTTGATCTGAAAAATAAAAGGATGGGAAATGTTTGACATTTTAAGCAAACATAAAAGATTTTCCTCAGTCAAAATTAAGAAATGTTTTAAGTCATTCACATCTCACTTGAAACCAAACTACGTCTGCATCTTAGTTCAAATGGAGTCTTAAGACAAAGAGATCTATTCTCTTGCATGGAAAGTCCTGCTGTAAACTTACAACTCTGAACATCACTAATCAATTCAAGGCATGACTAATAACTAAGAAAGGAAACTCTTTAATTTCTACAACTTTCATAAATAATATATTCCAGCCCATATTATCAATTGACTCTAAACTTTCATATACTGCTACAGACATGAGGTGGCAAAACACTGAAACAGATTAGAGATGCAGAAAACAAGGCTGAAGAATTCTTATCCTGTCTATATTAGTCAAAGTTGCCATTGTTTTACAAGACATATTTTCAGATCATTCTATCCATATGCAAATAGCCTAATCACTATGAAATGACTTTTAAGTCAGAAAACTTAATTTTGCTGCAAAAGAGGACATTTATGAAAACTAAAGTTAAAAGAAAATACATTTTCTGAATAATACACAAAACCTTCTACATGTTTCACAAACTGTTCAGCACATGTATATACTTGTGATATAATCTAATATTTCATCAAACTCAATATTCTAGACTGAAATTCCCAGCAGTTTTAAGATTGGATTCTCTATTCTTTTGTGAATATTTGTTTAAAATGTAATAAGATTCTGCTCCTATTGTGCTGGTGAAGTGTGTGTGCTGGATGGCGAGTAAGAAAGACAAAGCTGAAGAGAAGCACTGACTCACTCTGTATGACTTTATATACCTTTCTAAACACAAATCAAATTTGTAGGCTCATCACTTCTCTTGGTGGGAAGCAATATGCTAAAAATGAAACTAGATACACAAGTGAGACAGAAGGGAGTTTCTCAGATCAAACAAGATTGGCAGAGAAGATTTACTTCAGGAACTCTCAGAATCTGTACAAAAGAAACAGCAAAATCATCACAGCTTCCCCTCCCCCCAAGTTTAATAAGCTTCTTTCATTCTCCAGAGAACATAAACCATCCTATTCCATTTGTCATTTCTATCTGTAAATGAAAAACTATTTTTGTATTTTGATTTCACTCATGGAAATCTGGCAACACTGCTTCTGAATCTTTGCTGATGTTTCCAATCAATTTATTTAGAATCAGATTGAATTTTTAAAGGAGAAAAGTATTTTAGGGTACCTCCATGCAAATAAAACACTTTTTTCTGTGTAGGCTGTCACTACTATAATGAATGCCTAAAGTAAAAATAGGGAAGACCAGAGCGCATAGGATAAGAACGACAGAGAAGTCCACAGCTTAGAAAAATACATATGGAGCAAGCCCAATTCCTATCCTACTATTAAAGTCTTTTGAAAATTAGTTACTTTCTTTTTATTGTTCTTCTTTACCATTCTCTCAATTATTTGTTACTAAAAATATTTTGGAATTTAAGGCACCCGAGAAGAAACTTTCACCCTTGGGAAAATACTTAGGCACATAGATTCAAAGTCAAAGCACAATCTAACCAGCATGTTATCTGGAATATGAAATTATACCCACTGTTTTAGGGGTAACTTAGGTAGGTGATTTTATAAATGAAATAACTATCTTACTAAAAATCAGCACTAGTGTTAAAGATTTGATTTTGTAGCTTTCTCCCAGTGTCAGCTGCTTAGGTCTTTAGCCAATTTGGTGTTATAGGAGCCAAGAAGTATGAGATGAAATAGTTGTAAAATTAAGTACACCTGCTATTTCTTCTGCCTTATCCCCTGGTTCTGACCTGATATATATTTTTATTTCCTTTTTACATGTGTCCTCAAATTTTCCTGACATCTTTGTCATAGCAGTCAGCTTCTTACAGAGAAAACTGCCAGCAGAATGGGTAACTGCCTCCTTCTAATAACCTTATAGCCCCCGCCCCTGAAGATATATAAACCCAAGTTAGCTGAGCCCAAACTGTTCTGTTGGTGGAAACACAATTTTAAAAAGCAAGTATTAGATATCACAATATTGTAATAAAACTCTCAGAACACAAATTTTTTGTTTGCTAGGGTACTAGTGATGATGGGCAATTCAAGGCTAAATAGCAAAAGAATGATGCTAGAGATTCTTTTTTTTTTTTAAAGATTTATTTTTTTTATACAAGAACTGGTGTATAGGTCAGAAACGCAGGAGGGTGAGAGAATTCACCAGAGCCAGAGTGGGGAACAGAACAGGCAGATGGACCGAAGACACTGCTGAGGGGAGCAGCGGGCGGGGCAGAGGTCTGCTGTGCCATGTGGGGTTCTCCCTGGCCGGCGAGAAATCGAACCAGCACTGCAGAGGCTGCAGACAGCTTCACAGCGCGGTGCTCATCCACTGCACCATCAGGGAGGCCCAATGATGCTAGAGATTCTTTCCAGAAAATTCAGCTTATCTTCACTGTTATTACTGCCTTGACAAGTGTCACAAAGTCTGGGTAGATAGGATGGCCCCTAGAATAACATGGAACTATAAATGAAAAGGCCACTTTCTCCGTACATCCACATGAAGTGTCAGTTTGCACCAAATAAAAAGAACAGCATTCAGTCTCATCAATATAGTGGTAACTATATGAACAAAATAATGTAAAAAGCAGCTCTAAAACTGCTGAGTATTTGCATTTCCTCTTCCCCAAAACATTTTATGGGTATTTACACACAGAGTGGAGTGATTACAGCACATCTGAAATTACCAAATTGATTTGGAAAAGATGCATTCATTCATATTTGTAAAACATTAATGATCCACTATGTGTCAAGCACCATGTGCTATGTACAAGGTACTATGGATACAATAAAGCAAGATTACCCAGAAACTCTGGATGGTGGCCTAAATGCTTTTTCCATCATTATTTTTTAAATTTCCCTGTAAATGACTAGAACATCAGCACTGAAAATATAAGTTGAAAACACCTGGTTTTGTAGGACAGAAGTAGTAGAGGAGCATCCTGGGTAAATAAAAACAGAAAAATTGGGCAACTATAGGATCTCTCAAATTCTATTCTAATCTGTAATTTATTTATACCCTATCTTTTCCATAAAGATTTAAGGCAACTTAGATTTATGAAATGTTAACAAGATGAGAGTCCAGGAGGATGGTGGTAAGACACTAAGTAAACCTCCTACCAAACACACAAAATTGATGTAAAACAAAGCCCAAAAAGCCCTGTAGGAAAAACTGACTACCACTGCACATGCTGGGAACATCGGCCCAATATAAAGGGGTAGGAAAAATTTCATGTGAACTCTCTTTAAAGTGACAACAGGTGGGGGGCCTCCCTGGTGGTGCAAGGGGTTGAAGTCTCAGCACTATGAAGCTATCCGCAGGCATTGCGGCACGGGTTTGATCCTCTGCTAGGGAGGGGACCCACATGGCATAGCAGACCTCTCCTGTCTCACTTCCTGCTCCCCTCAGCAGTGTATTTTGGTGGATCTGCCTGTTCTGCTCCCCACTCTGTATCTGGTGAGTCCTTTCACTCCCCATACCTCTGGCCTGCACCCCAGTTCTTGTATGCATAAATAAATAAATCTTTAAAAAAAAATAAAGTGACAACAGGGTAGTACCACCCACAAGATGGAGCAGTGGCTGCAGTGCAGAGCCCACTACAGCCATGCACTTGGGCACATGCCAACACTGGGTGTCCTAACAATGGTACTGGGAAAGCTAGAAAACGACACATAAAAGAATGAAGTTGGGTTACTTGCAAATGCTTTACACAAAAGTAAATTCCAAATGGATTTACAAATTATATACAAGCCTGCAACAATAAAATACATTGAAGAAAATAGTGGTGCTATGTTCCATGATATCAACAATAATATAAAGATATTTTGGTGACTTAACCCTTATGGTAAGGGAATTAAAACCAAAAATAAACAATTGGGATAACCCTCAAATTAAAAAGCTTCTAAGCAGCAAAGGAAAATACAAGATGATTAAGTAGAGAATTAGAGAAAGTATTTATACAATATATAAATGATAAGGAATTAACATGCAAGATATATAAAAAAGCTCACACATTTCTACAATAAAAAAATAACCCCATTGGGCCTCCCTGGTGGCGCAGCAGTTGGGCGCTGGGTTGCGAGGCTGCCTGCGGCCTCCGCGATGCCGGTTCGATCCCTGGCTGCTCCCCGGCCACCAGAGGAGGGTCCCGCATGGCGCGCAGACCTCTCCTGCCGCCCGCTGCTCCCCTCAGCAGTGTACTTCGGTCCTTCTGCCTGCTCTGCTCCCTGCTCTGGCTCTGGTGAATTCTCTCACCCTCCTGTGCTTCTGACTGTACCCAGTGCATGTATAAACAAAAACAAACAAACAAATAAATAAATAAAGCATGCCTCTATAAAAAAAAAAATAAAAATAACCCCATTAACAAATGGACAGCAACTATAAACAATTCACCAAAGAAGATATCCAGAAGGCCAAAAGACATAAGAAAAAGTGTTCATCATCACTTCTAATAAGAGAAAGGCAGATTAAAACTACAATGAGATATTCACACCTGTGAGAATGGCAAATATTAAAAAGACCTCCAACAACAAGTGCTTGAGAGGATACAGAGAAAAAAGGAACCCTATTACATTATTGGTGGGAATACGAACTGGTGTAAATATTATAGAAAACAATCTGGACTTACGTTAAAAAAATAAAAATGGAAATACCATACAACCTGGCAATCCCACTTTTGGGCATATATCCACAGAATCTGAACACATCAACAAAAACCCATATGTTCCACCATATTCTCAACAACATTATTCACACTATCTAGAAGAGAGAAGCAGCCTAAATCTCCTTTGACAGATGACTGCATCAAGAAGATGTGGTACATACACACTATACAGTGTAATACTGCCATGAGAAAGGTTGAAATGCAGCCATTTTCAACAACATGGAGGGAATTTGAGTGAATTAAGTAAAACAAAGTAATTCAGAACAATAAAAACAAATACTGGACACTCACACAGCAGCACATATAGCTCACATTTGATAGCATAAAACACTTTTAAAAACTACTTGATATCAATAAACATCCTGAGGGCTCTGAGGTTAAGGAGGGTGGGGAGAGAAAAGGACAAGAGGACACAGGGATGGTGGTGGGGAAAAAACATTTATAGCAGAAATTTCAGGACAGAATGTAAGCATTTTCTCTACACTACTATAAAGGAGACAGGTAGGTATATAAGAGACAGGTAGATGAGAGATTTATATGTACAAACAATGACTTCGTCAGTGACAATTTGCTTTGGCAGGTGTATCACAGGGACCCATACTTAAAAATACCCTCATTTGCATGCAAATAAAAAATAAGAAAAAAATGGTATTTAAGATTTCTGTGCTTGGGAGGAGGAGCAGGCAAAAGAGAAAGCTTTAATGCTGCACCAAGGATCATTCTAAGAGCCTAAGCCAGAAAAAAAGTAAATAAATGGCAAAAATCAAAAATAAACCTTTAAGACCAAAAGGAAATACATAAAGCCATAATATTTAAAAATTTTAATTTCTAGTAAATTTAGACTTAAGTTTTCTAGTAAACAACTCAAGTAGAGAAAGAAACTTTATCAGTTATGCCACACAACACTTCTAAGATTAAAAAAAAAAAAATCAATTGCTTTGAAGTACTACTATGCATTAAACCAGCAATTATTTTCAGGATTCCTTATAAAGTTATTCACATAATATAATCAACTATTATCAATGACATCTTTGAAAAAAACATAAAGGCAATTCATAGGATTGTCTCTTGGACTATCACTTCATAAAAGTTGATGGCATGACTCCCAAAACATATTTTTTTTATGTTGTTATTTAAATTTCAAAAACTGAGCATGGAGATAGAGCTAACAACCCTGGTGAAAACCAAAATGCCTAAGAAAGAATCAAGTCTATATTACCTGGAGTTGAGGGAGAAGTACTCTGCAGACAAAGACGACATTTACCTTAAAAAAAACTTTAAAAATTTATGCTCATTATATAGACAAATAGGCACCTGAAACCTGTACTCTATATGCATAGTCACACAGTTTTTATCCTGAAAACTTTCATGGTATGTATGTCCAGGCATACTCAGGGCCCAAGAATTCAACATACTGGAATAGGAAGTGAACCCCTGAGATTTATATGTCATCTGCAGTATCTATACAAGGAGCTTAGCTTTATTTAATTAATCACCATGATCAAGAGTAAGACAGAATAATACATTACCACCAACAGTCATGGATCTGGTTAAAGAAGGCTGTAACAAAGTTTGTTCATCATTAAATTGCTTCTTAAGTTCTTCTACAGATTCCAAATGGAGTTGGAGAAATTCTGCTGTTGCTGCTGATGCTTCTGCCTTAACAGGATCTATCATTCTCTTCAGAAGTCCTAAGTCATCCTTTCGGACTTTCAAACAAAGCTTCTCCATTTCTCGGATATTGGAGCGGAGTTGCTATAAAAGAAAAAAAAAAAACATTAAAGCCACCATCTTTTAGATATAAAATACCTTTATTTTTAGAGGTAATTTGTGATTATGGTTGTGAATGGAAATGATTACAGGATTTCTACAATAGAAGGCATGCATAATACTTTTTCTATTTTTCAAATCTCTGATCAAGTCTAGTTTTTTAGAACTGACATGCTCTACTTTGAACTTATTTAGCATTTTTACCTTCATTTGATTATGATAAAGTAATGCTCTTCATAATAAATCAAACAATGCAGAAACATATCAAGAAAAATTTAATTATTCCCCCACTCACCAAACCCCTTACTTCTCTTAACCCAATATGTCTACACATTTCTCACTGGGCATACAAACATTAATATATATGTTTCTTTCTCTTTACAAAAACATTGCATTATGTATAATAATCTATAACTTGTCATTGCACACACTAGCTTTACAATACCATCATGGATCTCCCTCCTAGTGAATAGCTACATCGTATTTCATGGTATGGATATAGCATAATTTATTCAATCACTCCTCTAGTGATCAAGTCATTTATGTTGTTTCCGGTTTTCAGTTATTACAAACTATGAAACATGTCCTTGACTATATAAATATATATGTATTATACTACATATAATTATATTTTGTAGGAATGATTCCCAAGAGTGAGAGTACTCAAAGGATAATGTGCATTTTTATATCAATAACTACTGGGCCTCCCTAGTGGCGCAATGGGTTGAGCACAGCACTGTGAAGCTATCCACAGCCTCTGCAGCACAAGTTCAATCTCCTGCTGGACAGGGAGCTACCCACATGACGCAGCAGACCTCTCCTGTTTTGCCTGCTGCTCCCCTCGGCAGTGTATTTCAGTCAATCTGCCTGTTCTCTTCCCTTCTCTGTCTCTGGTGAATCCTCTCACCCCCCTGCACCTCTGGCCTGTACCCCAGTTCTTGTATACATAAATAAATCTAAAAAAACTATTATCTGGTTTTTCCCCACAAGGCTGTGTACCAATGTACTCTACCACCAAAGTATAAGTATCCATTTCCCACACACTGTCAGTAGTACATGTTATTTCACTGTAGTTTTACTTTGCACTTCTCTCCAGTGAACTTACTGAATTTTTGTCAAATGATTTTTCCTGTCTTTTAAGATCATTTAGCAAAATCATAAAATTTCCTATAATGAATTATGAGGTTTCATGGTATAGAATCATCTTTATATTTCTGAGATAAGTTCTTTCTGGTCAATAAAAATTTAAGTATGCTGTTAGATTCATTTTGCTAATATTTTATATGGAATTTTAAAACATATGTGTGTGTACACATACATGCATATGTGAACAGTGTGTGTGTCTATACTATCTTTAATAGGTTTATACTCATTTTAACAGGTTTGTGGTGCTAGATTCATAAAATGAACTGGGGAGTTTTCCAATTTTTTTAATGGTTTATACTTTGAAAGACATAGAAACCAACTATTCTTTGATGATAAAACAAATCTGCAAGAATGATATAAGTATGGCACTTTAAAAAGTTATAGAGCTTCAAAGAAAAAGAAAAATACCGGATGGTCTCACTCATTACAGGAATCTAGAAAACCTAAATAAGGAACCAGGAATAGGTTGTCTATTTCTTACCTGAGTAGTAGTGGTTCCATGAGTACATACAGCATAATTTATTTAGGTGTATATTATGTCTTATTCATTCTATAATGTCACATTTTACAAAACAAATCATTTAAATAATATCTTTACAAAAGAATATTATATTGAGTGGACAATTAGCCTACAGATAGAAATAAGTTTGAAAGAATCTGGATAGGGGAAAAATTGACTAGCAGTCTCACTATGGAAGAATACTGGCTACCACTTTGCTGGATAAGCATAATAATTCACTCATTTCACCAGGTTTCAAAGTTTACGGGACCAGAGACTATGTATAATCTTTGCACCATTATATACTAAAGGCCATATTTGGCCCCTGATACACAGTTTGAGTCAATAATGTTATGTGAATGAATGCTTTCTTAATATTTTCCACCAAGTGGCAACAGTGATCTCCAACCAAAAAAAAAAAAAAAAAAAAAAAAAAAAAAACCCAGCCAGACTTCTTCCCTGGAAAGCATAAGTCGCTAGCATATAAACTATTTCATATGTCATTAGATGGAAGAAATAATGAAAAAACTCATTTTTGGAAATAATTCTGACATACAAGCATAATATAGTGAAGTAGAAATCAAACTCATGAGAGAAAGCAATCTTGCCATCGTGGGAGTTCATAATAATTATAAAAAGGAATACTGGAAATAGTGACACATTATGGAAGTGATTCAAGTTTAGAGAAAATAGTTGTATGATGTAGCAGAAATTATATTGTGATAAGATCATTTTTAAGAGTTTCTAAAAAGTGAAACTCTGACGCTATAAAAACAAGTAAATCTGATAAGAAAGAAAAGAAAGTGGCATCTTAAGAATCCAATATGGTTGTATAAGAAGTGCTATGATAAGCTCTGCATTTTAAGACTTCTTTTAAATAAAGGGGAGGGGGGTGATAAAAAGAAAGCCATGTGAACAACCAATATGAAAGAGTGGTGTGAAACAAGGAGAAACATGTAAGTAAAGAAAGCCCAGAATGAGCGGAGGCTGGTGAAAAATGTTAAGAACAATAAAAAGGATTTAAAAAATATATGAAGAGCAAGAAGAGCAAGAAAGAAGGTTTGGACCTACTGCTTAGGGCAGATGGTATAATGTTAACAGATGATGCAGAAAAAGTAGAATTTGCTTAACTTCTATTTTATTTTTGATTCTTTATTAAGGAAAAAATACTCAAAATTGAAAGGGGCATAAGAAACATGCTTAAAGAAAATCTGAAATATACTAGAAGGATCTAGACAATCTTCATGAAGGAGGTGAGATTTATCTGAAAATTAATAATGGGAACTATAAGACACTAAATAGAAAGAAAAGACTGGGGGAAAATAGGTGGAATAAAAGGATAGAAGCTTACTAAATAATACATTTCATCAATTTTAGGATAAAATATCTTTCCACATTTTAACATCTCTGAAATTTGAACATTTCGTGAAATATATAGTTTAAAAGACATTGTGCCACTTCGTTGAAGCCACTTTTTCTTTCTTAAAGGCATAAAATAATGGTGAGTCTTATAGCTGATGGTTCTATAGATTTAATCTTCTCCCTGTGATTTTTCAGTATCTGTCAATCAGATTTAGGATGTTGATTTATCAGTTCATGAATATTTCAAGGCTGAATTTAAGTTTATATTCCTCTCAAGCTCATAATAATCTAAAACAATTAACCTTTTAATAGCATATTCATTTTAGGAAACTACTATCTTCTCTTCCATTCTATAACTGGTCTTGCTTATTCTTAATCTTTTCTCCTAAATTTGCTCTATCTGTGATTCTCCTCGCTTCCTCATCCTGTCTTTTCTATTGTTTCTCCCTTTTAAGCTGTCATTTTTAAGGAAAAAAATTAAAAAATAGCGCAAGTGTTCTAGGTTCTGTCAAGTAAAATCATGAAAGTCACATTTTATTTTACGTTCCATGGCAGATTTTATTTTCGTAAATTTATGCTACCTATGGAACTGGGACAGGACAGTATCTTTCCAAATGTGGTCTGAACTGGACTGAATCAGAATCTCAAATAAGAGCCCCCAAAATTTGTGTTCTCAATGGCTTCCGCATCACCACTGTTGTGCAGACCTGGCTGATCAGGTTTCAGTAAGTTAATGTTCTTCAGTGAATTACAGAAGTAGCAACAATTTCCAAGTCTTTTACTTAGTTTCAAAATTTGACCACAAACTCCTCCTTAATACTCATGTTTTCTTTCTACTTGCAATTAAAAACTTTAAAAAGCTTAAAAACAGAGTTAACAGCAAGTGCTCCCTTTAAAAACAGAGCACTGGATAGAGTACTAAGGAGGAAGTACTGCACAGAGAACCCTGGAGATGTACAGGAGTCACCCCTGAGTACTCAGCAAAGAACTGATCAGAACAACTAATCAGAACAAGAGGAAACCACCCAAGGCTGGAGTAAAAAACACCCAAAAAGATTAGCATGAACAAGTGCCAATCATTCATTTAAAGCTGGAAAGCAACAGTTCCCACCAGCTAGACTAGAAAAACTAATTCACAGGGCACTGGGTAGAGCACTCGGAAAGGTTTTGCCTCAGTAGTGGGGAAATAATCAGTCCTAGACTTTAGCACTACGCCAGTCAAGTTTAATAAATCACAAAAGAAAGAGTTAAGAGGATCAAACTGTTACTGAGTAATTAAATTCCTTCCAGAACAAAGTTCAACAAGATTTATGGGAACATAAAATATCCATCACTCAGTCAGGCAAAGGCCACCCAATCAAAGATTACTAGATCTACAAAGAAACAGGAAAACACAACTCAGAATGAGGAGAATAATCAATTATAATTGATCCATAGTTGACAAAGATATTAGAATTAACAGAAAGGATATCAAAACAATTACAGTTGCATTCCATATGCTCTAAAAGTTAAAAAAATATGGAAGATAAATTTAAAAAGGCCATAAATCAAAATCCTAGACATAAAAAAAAATAAACTGAATGGATTAAGAGAGATTAGACATTGTTGCTGCTATGACTAGTGACTATAAAGCTACAGAACTAGAAACTTGCCAAATGAAACAGAAAAAAGTAAATTTCCTTTTCCAGATTTGGGACATATTCTCTTATTTCTTTAAATGTTCTCTGTTCCTTATTGTTTCTCTTCCCCTTTTGGGATAACCATTATTTTTATATTACCCTTCCTTACGGTGTCAGTTCACAAAGTGTTTCTTCATTTTCATTTACTTTGATTCTCATTTTCTTCTTTCATTTTGCTTCTTTGTAAATTTGTATCTTCACATTCACTGATTTGCTCTTCTTCCACTTGGCTTGTTCTACTTCTGTTGCTTTCTATAGCATTTTTTCATTTCTCCAATCTTTTTTTTTTTTTCATCCTGAAATTCCTTCGTTTCCTTCTTTATCATTTTCGATCTTCTGTTCATTGATTGTATTTATGAATCTTCTTGTATATCTTTTATCCACTTTTCTGCATCTACTCTGAGTTCTTTGAGTTCTTCAAATTTCTTTATGATGGCATCTTTGAATTCTGTATCTGATAGAAGGAATAGATCTTCCAATTCTTTGTGTTTGGGTTTTGGAGATATGTTCTCCATATGTGGTGTTACAGTCCCCTTTTCACTTTTGCTGCCATTTGTTGTGTTATTCCATCTCCCACCCCTTTTTTTTTCAGGATTTTACTGCTGTGGGTCCTGCCTCTGTTAACCATATCTCCACTCCTCCCACACTGGGCCAGGACACTGAACAGAGGGCAGCTAGGGATTGCTGCCATTGTGCAGGGCCCTGTGTGGCCTGGATTTGAGTGTGCACTGGTTCCCAAGGTGCTGGTGACTGACCAGGGGGTGGTAGAGGTAACTTCCTGAGGGTGGATGGGGGCCACTGTTAAAGGTTGAGTCCCTGTGCAGCCCAGTGGGACCTGCCTCTGCTCTTGATGTGCTGGTGGGTGAGCGGGGGGTGACAGATTCTTATTAAAGGGTAGCTGGGCCACCACTGAAGGGTGGTCTCTGTGCAGCCCACACTTGGGCCTGCATTTGCTCTGAGGCTCTGGTAGCAGAGCCAGGGATTGAAGAACTTCTGAAAGTGATCTTTTAAAGCCATATCAAGTCATCACCTGTTCAGAATCTATCCAAAATTCAAGTTACCACATCCTGAAAGGGTTAGACCCGCCTCTGATTTCATCTCCTTTATCCTCTTCCTCATACCAGCTAAACTTATCTCCTTACTACCCCTTGATTATACCAAGCATCCTCTCACCTCAGAGTCTTCACACTTGATTTTCCCTCTGCCTTGAAAATTTTCTCATGACTAATGCCTTTAATTCAAGTTTCTACTTAAATGTCATCAGAAGCCTTCCACAACCACCTATATACAATAACATCACCTTCTTTGATTCTCTGTTCCCTTTAACCTGCTTTACTTTTACTACATGACACTTATACCCATCTAAATATTGTATGTTTACTTTAAAAAGTTATCTATGTCTTTCCACTCACCATTTTCAGAATATAAGTTGGATGAGAACAAGAATTTTCTTCTGTCTTGCTCACAGCTATATTCCCTTGTCAACAATAGTATCCAAAACATAATAAATGTTCAAATGTTTCAGCTCTTCTAATAATCAGGTCAGAAAGGCAGATTTTCTGCCAAGTTTTGAAATATTGTAGGACTATACACCAAATAAATGGGTCTATAACCAATGTATTAAGTCTAAAAAAAGAAAGCATACTAACTTAGTAATTAACAAGCTTTGCAGTATTCAAGTAGTTAACGGAAAACTATGGTCAAACTTTCAGTAAAATTAAGTGACAAAATTCTTTAGTTTTGTAACTAAGTTTAATAACTAGTTATGGCTTTCCCCCCTTCCTACTGAAATATCCTGAAATTTCTTTCTAAAGATTAAAGATGTTTAAATATATAATTGTCTATACTGATAATTGTTAAAAGTAATTATTCTGAGTTAATTTAAATTCTGAAAAATAGTTAATTATGTATTTAATGATTAAAAGAGTGGCTATGCATATATTTGCCTTTGTTAAATATTGATTTAAGGATTCCTAATGTGTTTTATAACATGCAATTTTGAGAGTAGACTGTGTACAGCAGAAAACATTTGGTATCATAATAATCTGCTTTCTTTACAAACACAGAGCACAAGTCCACTGGTAAACATTTAAACAACTTAGAGTAAATATATTCTAGACATCATATAATTTATTACTATGGGCTCCAGGATCATAACTATTTAATTAAAATAAATCTGAATTATTCTTTTCTTGTATTACCTAACTACTACACTAAGGTATTGATAGTATTGTAATGACTTCACATGTATTTCAACTTCAAGAGGCAGCAAAAACTGAACTATCAAAAGGAGTACAAATAAAGGGAGAAAAAGGTTTCCATTTATTATTCAACATATATCTAATGAGCACCAACTACATAGTTATTAAATGCAGTACTCCAATTTCTATTCACCTGTTAATTAAAGGTATTTCAGATTAAAAAGAAAACATTAAGAGACAATGTTGTAATTCATTCTTTTAAAGGATTTTCACTAAGTGCCTGCCAAGAGCATTGACATTATGCTAAATAAACTGGATTCATGCAGTACCACTTATTAAGACCTTGCCCTTATGCCAGATAGCAGGCATTATATCATTTATTAGTCTCTACAGAATATTTGACTATTAATAATACACTGACATCTATTAGCTTTTTTAGTAAAGTTTTAAGCTATTAAATAATTTGATAGTTTTCATGAATTCATGCCTAGGTAAATTCCTTCAAAACAGAAATTGTGATATATTTTTCAGAACCTTCTATTATTAGCTTACTGCATTACTGTATCTTAAATATTCGGGAAGGAGGTAGGAAGACTGAGCTTTTGTAAATACATATTTTCTACTTTTGTATGAAAAACCAACCAAAATGGGGAAAAGTGATATGATTAATTATAGTGTATTTTAAATTAAACCTATGGAATGTCAACAATTTTTAGCTTGATGTACCAGTTAAAAGTGGGAATATAAAATCAAACATTACTAATTCCTCTTACTTAATGAATGTCTATTATATGACAGGGGCTATGTAGGAACTTTTTACACAAGATCAACAATCCTTCCAAGCAAACTGCAATACAGTAGAATGAGATTTTACTTGCAGAAATAAGTCACAAATGTATAAAATAGTATTGTGAATTCTTTCACAGAGAGAGCTTTTTGCAGAAAGACCTTATCCAAAGGTCTTTTTATCCAAAGATAAATTTGAACACAAGCTTGTTTATAACAACTTTTTTTTCCCAATAACCTATGAGCAAGATTGAAAGAAGTCACAAAGAATCAAAACAAGAAATCAAAAGAACGTGTGATATTATAAGAACTATTATTACCATAAAAAGACATTTCACATGACAGTTGTGTTCCTCCAACACAAGCATTCTGAGAGAGCCAGTGCAAGCTAGATGGCGTTTTCTCACCTATCCTTAGAAGTCAAGCAGCATTACTGCTGGCTTAGCCGAGATTTAATGGGAGAAGAAAACGACTCTACTTGATAGGGGTGAAAACATCCACATTAAGTAACAATCCAAAGAGATTTAGAGTAAATATTAGAAATAACAATATGAAGCTAACTGGTCATAAGACCTACATATGAAAATAAACTATACTTGCATATATACCACCAAAAGTCAGAAAACATAATTTAAAAGATAACATTTAACACCTCCCCCAAACACACACGCATGGTTGCACACATGTGCAAACCAACACACACACAGTATTTAGTAGATTAATGAAATAGATGAACAAAATAAATGAAGGTTGTATTTCAGCCATCTGTTGCTATATAACACATTCCTCTAAAACTTAAGAGCCTAAAACCACTATTTGATTTTGTAGATCAAAAATTTAGGAAGGCTTAGTTGGGTAGTTTTCACTTAGTCTCCCATATGGTTGAGTCAGATGTCAGCTGAGGCCACAACCATCTGAAGGCTTGGATGCACTGGATGTCCAGGATGTCTCACTCCTATGGCTGGCACTTAATGCTGGCAGTTGTTAGAGCTCAGCTGTGGCTGGGGCAATCTATCGCATGCGAGTCTCAGGCTACTTGGACATTTCACATGACAGCTGTGTTCCCCCAACACAAGCATTCTCAGAGATCAGTGCAAGCTAGATGGCCTTTTCTTACCTATCCTTAGAAGTCAAGCAGCATTACTGCTGGCTTAGCCCAGATTTAATGGGAGAAGAAAACGACTCCACTTGATAGGGGTGAAAACATCCACATTAAGTAACAAAGCAGCATTATTTTATAGCGCTAGTGTTGGTGTGGTTTCTTAAAAAGTTCACTGATAGAGTATAAGTCAATATATCATTTCTAGAGGAAATTTTAATAAAAGGAGTCAAAACTTTAAAAATATACATGACATTAGAGTCAGTAATTTTTGCTGAAAATGTATCCTTAAGGAAATAGCTAGTAGGGTATTTATCTTTGCAAAATTTTCTTAAAGCTGTTATTTCTCATATTGAGCTACTAAAAACAATACAATAGCCTTACCTGAACTGTACGTCCTGCATTGATATGCTCTTCGTGTAACTTGTCCCAGATTCTGCATCTTTGATACTGCATAAACAAGACGGGAAAAGATTTTTTTGAAGGGTTTTTAAATCACTAGGGTGATTATTTCTAGTTATTTCAGAAATACCCACTCACCTAACAAAATTTAAATAGCCTTAGTAGTGGCAAGTAACAATCCAAAGACCACATAAGTGGAAAGTTTTCAAAAACATTACATATGAAATTCTGACACATACAAAATGGCCATCCTACCCAAAGCCTATAGATGGCCTATAGAAAGAAGCATGGAGATTCCTCAAAAGACTAAAAATGGCTCTGCAATATGACCCAGCAGTTTATATATATATATATGTATATATATATATATTTATATGTGTGTGTGTGTGTGTATATACATACACACACAGATAAATACATATACATACACATATATGTGTACACATACAAGCCACTGTATAAGTGTGTGTATATATATACACACACACACACATATATATACATATATATGGCATTTCACATGACGGCTGTGTTCCCTCAACACAAGCATCCCCAGAGAACCGTGGAAGCCAGATGGTCTTTTCTCACCAATCCTTAGGAGCAAATACCTTCCCATTAGCACTCTTAAAGATCATCAACTAGCAAGGAAAGTTTATCATGCTATAGTTTAACACAAAACAAGGAAGGAAAGAGGAAAGGGAGGGAAGAACAAGACAGTAAGAGAGGAGAGGAAAGTATAGAGATAAGAAAGCAGAAGAAAACTTAAAAAATAATAATACCACCACCACTGAGAGATGATGAGATGCTATATCCATCAAACAAGAACAGGAAGATTTTGTTTATTTATTTTTAAGTGATATGTTTAATAGGATGGTTTCCACAAACTACACTCTAAGTTTCTAACCATCACAATTCTGTGAAGTACAAAACATTAAGTTACAGGCTATGGGGTGAGAAGGCAGCATCCACGGTGGCACCTTTCAATCCTGCCTGGTCTAGGAGTGGCTGGTAGAGGAGGTTTCTTTTTAAACCAAGCCCTCATTTCAATGTACAAAGGAATTTCTCTGATCAATATTAAATTAAATTGAAAACAAAATGAACTAAAACAGCAACTACTACTCTACAGTGGGGCAGAAATGGAAGGAAGGAATGAGTTCATCAAAGTAAAAGGGAAGAAATCAGAGGGAAGGTCCTGTGGCTGTGGCCACTCACACTGTTCCGTTTTTACTTTTGGTGGTCTTTAAAGGGAAAAAGAAAATAAGAGAGAATTAAGGAAAAGGAACATAGTTAGAAAAAATGTGATTCCGGTTATTTCATCTTAGCAAGTAGCAGGAAGGTGGAGATGACAGGTGGAGCTGATGCAGTCATTTCACATGCAAGATAGAAACAAGTTGAGGAACAGAGAACAAAAGAGAAGGAGCGTGGCTCTTTAATGCCTGTTGAGCTGCCACTGTCACCCTAGATGACCCCTGGAACTATGAGAAAGTAAAAATAACAGTAAAAAAAAGCCAAAAACTTCTATTTAATACATTATTTTGGGGTTTTATGCCACTTGCACCTTAACGATATGCTAACCAATACAGCATGTGCTACACAACAAGTTTTTCCCTTAACACCTACAATATGAAACATAGAAAATTGTGTTCCGAGCTTACTATCTTGTCATTCTTAGCAACTATGCTGAAGTCTATCTTAGATTAGCCAAAAAAAAAAAAAAAGGCTGAATGCTAACACTTCAAATTTCAGGATTATATTCTAATCAAGTCTATCTTGTGTAATAAAACGTAATGCTGAAGGACCTATGGAATATAGTCCCAGGTGTCCACAGCACACTACTCTCATTGTTTTCAGATATTGCAGAATCACTCCACTGAGGCTTACCTTCAATTTCCCTTCAGTCTTACTTTTTTCTTTTAAATTCATATTGGATGACTGATGGCTAACATAATAAATATTTTATCTTTCTACACCCTTCCCCCAGGAAGAATATGCCTTTTTGAAAGTGAGGCATTGTCAGACACCTGGAGTCCAAACTTAGTTCTTAGCTCTTTTGTCCAGAATAAACATGGCAGCTTTTAAATGTTTTTACATTGCCATAAAGTAGCTATTAAAATATGCTATTCAATGTTATATAGATTAAAAATTCACTTTCATAATTAAACTAGAAATCCTAGACAGTAGAATGATCACAGACATGGAATAAAACAGATCAATGTGAGTTTAGCTGCTGAATTTCAGACATCACCTGTTCTATAAATTACAAGTATTCTAATATAGTATGGAAACTTCCACAATAAGTAAAAATTTTACAAAATGCTAAAGGAAAAATGTTCTGGCAGAGAGACATCAACATAATTCTGGAATAATTTTCTTACGATGTGTAGCACAACTAAATCAAATCATTAATGGACCCATTCTCTATTTCCACCCACTCTCTCCCTGGGTTCAGACTTATCAGTTCATGGGTGACTGGGTGGTATATATGGGTAAGATCTGAGGGTAATGGCTTTTGTATAGAATAAATATAACAAAAGGGAAATCTAAGATATGGCAAATCTCAAAGGTAAAATAGGACAATAAAGACAAGACATTTTCCAACTCTGTGAATAAATTCATTGGCCAAATTCTTGTTATCTTTGTAACTGAGCATTTTAATGTGAGCTCAGAACTTTGAAACACATCTTATCAAGCCTCTTACCTGGATAATATCAATTGAAAGTAAACAACTCAACTGCTGTTATAGAGCTAAAAGAATGAGGCCTCCCATTAATCAAAGAACAAGACTCTTTAATTTGTTTATGTTCATGACAAGAATAACCAGTTTACCACACAACCCTGCAGCCTTAAGCATCATAGTACTTACTACTTATGGATAAAGAAGAAAGAAATGAAGGAAAGAGAACATACTAATCTTGAATTCTAATATTCTTGGCACTTATTTCCTATTATGTCTCTAAAAACACTTAAAGACTGATGGTAGCTATAGGAGAAAAAATTGACACTCTTCTTACTTGCATAAGGTGACAGTGTTGATACTGAAAGGCTGCATGACCACTTCTACACCCATGTTCCCGAAATCAGTTGATGGCCACACACCTTAAAATTTATCCTGGGGGGCCAGTGGAGTGGGTGGGGGAGGTCCTTTTGAAGCAAATACCACTGACAGTCCCACAGCAAGTGAGGTAGCATATTCTGCCAAATACATGCTTAGTACTCAGTACACCTGATGGCCCCACATATGCCACCAACACTCCGCCAGCTTCCGGCCAGTACAGTTTCTATGCAACTTCCACCATTCCTTGAAACCAGTTCTTCCCTCACCATTTCCTATACTGACCTCTAGGCAATATTTCTCAATTTTGAGTTTTCCTCAAATGGAAGCAATAATGTTGGGGATTTTCCCGCCTATAACACAATGATTTCACACTTTATCTATGCTTACCTGAAAAGGATATGAGTGACTAATAGACACTCAAAGTGCAAAAACCTTGCCAAAGTGTGGAAAAATTAAGGTAGGATCCTTAGCCAAAGTTCCCCAACTTTGTATCATTGTGCACTATCAAACAGTTAGTATTTTAACTATTAACTGCCGAATAAGTCAGTATGTACAATTTAAAAGGTAAATGATTCTATTCTTTTATCCCATTGTAAAAAAAACAATGAGCAACATATTTGTAGAAAGTAAAAACCAGGTGGAAAAAAAAATAAACAGCATTGCTAATCACAGTAGGAGCTAGATATTTTAGCAAAGCCTCTTATCTATTATTCTAAATTTAACTGAAACTGCAACAAATGATATGTAACTGCTTGTTGTATTATAAAATGGAAAAAAAAACCCTCACCTTCTCAATATTTATCTGGTGCTTTCTTAACCTTTCCAGGTCTGTTGGAATTACTATCTTAGTAAATTTCTGGATAGCTGGTTCAAGACGGCGTAATTTCACTTTTTCTTCATCTTCAGACATCCTAAAAAAATGTTGTGTCACTTCTACTTGCAACAACTGACTTCTCCGCTCATACGGAAAAATCTAAAAGGGAAATATTTAAGAATATTTTAAAATCAGCTTACCGTTATTTATAAAAGCCAACAATTAGGCAATTTTATAATTTATTCTAAATATGTATTCAACTTAATGCTGAACTTAAATGACTTGCTTTCTGTTTATAAAGTCTTTTATTCTAAACCCTTTTTCTCTCTACAATCCTAAGGTATGTTTAGAGTGTTTAGAAAATATAAAAAAGAAAATAAACAATTATCTCTTCACCTATAGTTAACTATTCTTTCCACTTTGATGTCTGTCTTTTCAGGTCTTTTTCTACCGAAGGGTGTATATATGTATGGACTTTTCTCCCCCCAGTTTTTTTTCCCCTTTGTTGAAGTAACATTGGTTTACAACATAATATATGATTTAGGGGATCAGGTTCACACTTCTTCCCACCCCCTCCATGCAAGCAGCCACATTCCTATACCATAGAACACTGAAAGCCCCTTGCACCTTTATTCCTACCCCCACTCTCCCACGCTCCCTCCCCTTCTAGCAGCCTCAATTCTACAGTCATATTTCTAGGGTTTATTTTGGTTTAGTTTTGTCAGCTCCTTTGTGTGTTTTTGTTGTTGTTTTCTCTATATTCTACATGAGTGAAACCATCCAGTACTAAATACCTTTTTTATAAAAAACTAAGAGTCTACTGTCCAAGCTTTCATTTCCCAATGTATCTCAGACATTGAAACATTCTTTTAAAAAAGTATCAAATGGCAAAACTGGCAGAAAAATTTCATTCTTAATGTTTTGGCTTGTATCATACTCCACTTCTAATGACATCATAATGTAACTATATAATGATATACTTCACATATATTATAACATAGGACTCTTCTCATTTATGTTAAGTTGCCTCTTCACCTTCTTACAAAGTGATTAGCACTCTACAACTGATGGAAAAACTGTGAGTTGCAAGTTATTTCCAATTTCCCACTATTATAAACTGCACCACAGTATAAATGCCCTCATACATAAATCCACACTATGCTTAGTTCTTTAAAATAAATACCTGGATGACACAGAAACATTAATTCCAAAGGGCACCTGCATCCCTATGTTTATAGCAGCACTATTTACAATAGCTAAGCTATGGAAGCAACCCAAATGCCCAAAAATAGATGACTGGATCAAGAAGATGTGGTGCATATACACAATGGAATATTACTCAGCAATCAAAAAAGATAAACACATGCAGTTTGCAGCAACATGAATGGAGCTAGAAGGGATCATGCTCAGAGAATTAAGTCAGAAAGAAAAAGAAAAACACCGGATGGTCTCACTCATAGCAGGAATTTAGAAAACCTAAATAAGGGACCAGGAAAAAGACTAATTAATACAAAGTAAAAATCAAAATCAATAAGGAACTATAAACCAGAGACACACTGGGAAGGAAGGGGAGAGGAAGGACTAGGGTCAAAATTAGGTGGGGGGGTGCAATTGTATGGGGAATATAACCAAAATGATAATGCATACATTGTGCAAAAATGAAAAATGATGTAAGAATTATATAAAATAAAATATTAATTAAAAAATAAATAAATACCTGGAAACAGAACTGATACACCTTTTTTAATGATTTTGATAGGAAATGTCCCCCAAAATGATTGTGCCTATTTATATCTCCATGAGCAACATATCAAAATGTTCTTTTATCTATATTCCAAAAAATACTTTATCATTCTTAGACATTTGACTGGTGACAAATATGCATGTTATTTTACATTATTTAAATTACTGATGGGATTGACTTACTAGTCATTTGTATTTCTTTCTCCATGAATTAGTTGCTCATGCCATGATTCTGTTTACTATAGGGTGTGTCTTTTTCTTATTAATTTATAAGAGTTTATTATATGCTACATTCAATTATTCCTCTCACATTAATGTGTCCAGGTTTATCACGGTCTCTTGCATTTTTTCACTACTATGCAGATGACAAACAACAGGAAGATATCTTCATATTGCCACCATTCCTACCAAAATGCTTTTGAACATAACCAATGCTTAAGAGAGGCTGTCTTTTCATATATATATATATATATATATATTTATTTATACTCTCAATGATCAAACCTGGGACAGTCTGAGACAGAAAATAATGAAAGTGTAGAACCACCACCAATAAAAATAAAAACAAGTCCATACTGATGCAAATAAATAACTGAATAAACAAATAAATGGAAAGGGGCTTTCTTTACAGAGCTCCAATAAATAAAGGGAATCACCATTAGAATCTCTCAGTGATAACTACTGAGGGCAAGATCCATCAGTGGATGCTAAAAGTAGCAAATAAAAATTTGAGAACAGGACATTCACAAAGTTTAAAAGCTTTCCCCAAAGATACAAATTACAAAGGGAAAAACTATAACTTTAGAGAATCCCAGTAGCTATCATCCTAACCAAGTGATGGAGAATAATATCAAAAGCAGTAAGTCATATATCTTTTTAGATATGAATTCAAAAGGCACCTAAATATCCACAATATGGGTGAAAATGCATGACCTTAATCTATCATGAGAAATCATCAGACAAACCCCACCTGAGGGACACTACAAAATAACTGACCAAGACTTTTCAAAAGTATAAAGGTCATGAAAGACAGAAAAAGACTTAGAAGCTGCTCTGGAACAGAGAAGATTATGAAGCCATAACAACTAAAGGCAGGATGAAAGATCTTAGACTGGATCCTGCAACAGAAGAAGGACATTAGTAGGAAAAAAAAAAGACGAAATCTGAAGAGTTGGTTCTATAGTTAATATTGTGCTGATGTTAATTTCTTTCTTCTTAGCATTCTTCAGAGCAGCAATAGTTTTATTTACACGATCTTACATGCGCCTCAAATACATGTGTGTATATATATATACAATTGGAAAATCAATACAATTTGAAGGGAAAGAAATAAAGGCAAGGATAGTTTTCCGGGCAGATCCATATCACAGAAATTGATGTCATCTCACCCACCTAATTTTCAGTGATATTTACAAAAAGATAGTCTATCACAGGGAATGATGTTAATTTCTTGCTTTTGATTTTAATAGTTAGTATATAACTATAGTTACATAAGGTGTTACCATTAAAGGCAAACTCCACTTTTGTAACTTTTCTGTAATTATAAGATTTTTTTTAATGTATGAATTGATGTATCACATATGACAGGTGAAAGAAACCTTTTGAAGTCAGAGAACTGCATTCATATTTGCTTGCACTGAGGGGAAAGCGCGTGTGCCAGGTGCTTTACAAACTTTATCCTGGGGTGCTTACGAGTATCAGCTGAGCATCATCACACTCACGTTTCCAACGAGACCAATAAAAATACTGAGAGGTCAACTAAACTACTGAAGAGGGTGTTTATAAGTGAAAAGCCGTATTTCTCAAAATAAAGCGTCCAAAATCGCTGGCAACCCCACCTCGCAGAACTTCCAGCAGCCTGGAGAGCCCACATTCCGACACTATGGAGGTGCCCGAATGCCTCAGGCCGGGGGGCCCGGTGTTCTGACTGCGGGACGGGGTCCAGTGCTGACCCGGGAGAGAAGGGTCAGAGCCTTGGGTCCTACCGTATGGTCACTTCTCCGGGTCTCCCATCCCGAATTCACACAAGGAGGGAGTTAGATCTGGGACCTGTCGCCGGGTCTGGCCGGCGGGGGTCGCCCCCCCAGGGTCCCCAGCCTGGCGGTCACCCTCCTTCGAGTCCCGGGAGCACCTGGGCCACACCAGCCAGCCCGCCCCAGCACCCCAAGACGCGCGGCCCCGTCCCGGGACGCGGGCATCCCGCCGAGCCAGGGCCCACAGTGGGTCCCCCGCAGAGCCGGCGCCGCCAACTCTCCCGCCCCGCGATCCCGGAGGGACCCTGGTGCTCGCCCCACCGGCAGCCCCCCAATATTCTCTCCCACAGGCGCTTCCAAAAACGAAACCGCCACTTCTTGGAACTGGGAGGAGCCACCTCGGCGCTCGCTCTTCCGACCTGATACCCCGCTTTTCGCAGGCGCCGAGCCAAAGCGCCCACTGGGCGCGACGCCCACGGGCCAGCCACGGCCTGACGCCCCCGAGGCGGCCGCCCCCGAGGCCCCTTACCTCCCGCCGGGCCGCCCGAGGCCGGTCGGTGCGCAGGGCGCAGGCGCACGCGCGGCGGGGCGGGGCGATGGGCGGGGCTTCGAGGGTCACGCCCCCTTCCGTCCCGTCCTGGCTTCGCCTGGTCTGGTCCAGGTTACAGTGAGTGGGAACACTGTTTTGCCTCCGGACCTGGGGAATCTTTTTTTAGCAGCTATAAAACAGAGACACACTACGGGGGCGGGGAGAGGAGGGATTAGGGTCAAAATAAGGGGGCGGAACCGCATGGGGAATATAACCATAATGAAAATGCATACATTGTGCAAAAATGAAAAATGATGCAAGAATTATATAAAATGCAATATATTAATAGAAAATAATAATTATAGAAGTGTTCTTAATTTACTTAATGGTGGTGTAACCCCGAAACCTGGAGGCAAGAGACGCACAAACCCTTGTTGGGTCTGGTTGTTTTGTTTAAGGTGTGAGACAGTTCACATTTCATTTTGCAAAACTTTGCAGTACATTTTCCTTTATTCGGTCAGGGATTTTATGGCAGGCTGGCCTATATTCTTAGCATTTTAAACCAGTAGAAACAGAAAGGTTGTGGCTTCTCTCTCACACTCCCCAAAATCTTGTGAGGTGAACAATGCTCAAAAAGTGAAGCTCAAGGGCCTCCCCGGTGGCGCAGCAGTTGAGCGCTGGGTTGCGAAGCTGCCCGCGGCCTCTGCAGCGCCGGTTCGATCCCCGGCTGCTCCCCGGCCACCGGAGGAGGGTCCCACATGGCGCGCAGACCTCTCCTGCCGCCCGCTGCTCCCCTCAGCAGTGTACTTCGCTTCTGCCTGCTCTGCTCCTCGCTCTGGCCCTGGTGAATTCTCTCACCCTCCCGCGCTTCTGACTGTACCCAGTGCATGTATAAACAAACAGACAAATAGACAAACAAACAAATAAATAAAAAAACAAAACAAAAAAAAAAAAAAGTGAAGCTCAAACAAGTTGTGATATCCCCTCCAATATCTTGTGGAGCCCTTATACGAATGACTTATACCGATTTTATTGATAATGACATGGAGTGGCAAAGCTTTTAAATGACTCACTCCAGTCCAACCGGTTAGCAACAGAGTTGGAACTCCAACTGGGTTTAATTTCTGTCCCAAGTTCTTCCAGTTAAACCACCTGCTGCCAATGAACAAGCAGATGGCTAGCTTTGAAACCCTGTTCAGGTGACAGATCCTCCTTTCTGAGTAGCCTAACTCCCAGACGCAGTCTGTTTTATGTGCGTGACTCATATTATTGTCGTCAGAAGTCACAAGGAAGATCTTCCAGTAGAGTGGGAATAGAGGTAGAAATTGTGTGCCAAGGAAGATTAAGGGCCTGTAAGAATGCTTTGGAAGGTAATTTTAAAAAAATTATTTTTTAATTTAATTTTTAACATTTTCTTACATTGTTGTTCATTTTTATAAAGTATTTGATTTCTCCCTTCAAAATGTAGTCTCCACATTTCTCATACTATCTTACCACCCATATTCCCTGTAGTCTTCCCTCTGGTTTTGACCCCCTCTCCTTGCCGTATTCCTCAGATCCATGGTCAGCTTACTGGTTTTGTCTTTTCTTGACCTTTTGTTTGGTTTCTCTATATTGTGCATATAAGTGAGACCATTCAATATTTATCTATTTCCTTCTGACTTATTTAGGCCAGCATAATCCCCTCCAGCTCCATCCAGGTTGCCACAAATGGCATGGGTTTGTCTTTGTTGGTCACTGAGTAATATTCCATCATGTATAAATACCACAGCTTTTGATCCATTTGTCTATTTTGGGGCATTTGGGTTGTGTCCATGTCTCAGCTGTTGTAGATAGTGCTGCAGTAAACATAGGAGTGCAGGTTTCCTTTCAAATTAGTGTTTTTGTGTCCTTTGGGTAGATTCCTAGGAGTGGAATCACTGGATCACATAATAGATCTATTTTTAAGTGTTCTGAGAGTCCTCCACACAGCTTTCCCTAGTGATTGGACCAGCTTACATTCCCACTAGCAGTGCCAGCAGTATAAGGTGGTTCCTTTATCTCCAATCCTCTCCAGCATTTGTTGTTTCCAGTTTTTTTTTTAACGTGGGCCATTCTCACTGGTGTGTGGTGGTATCTCATTGTGGTTTTGATTCGCATTTCCCTGATAACTAATATTGTTGAACATTTTTTTCATATGCCTGTTGGCTGTTCCATATGAAGGTAATTTCTAATATAAAATGCAAAGTCTAAACAACTGGGAGGAGGGAGTAATAATGAATGCTGATGTTTGTTGTACAAACTCCAGGAATTAGCTCTAGAAATGGGGTGCTAATAAATTTCTAATGTAAAGGAGAAAAAATAGGGGATACCCTGGGGAATATTTTTTTAATGCAAGGGCCAGTTAAACAAGGTCTAAAGTACAGGCCATTGATGTTAATTTCTGAAAAAGCTACCACAAGTGAAATGGAGGGTTGGGGGTGTGGTATATAAGAATTCCAAATTTGGGTCAAGTCTTATAGGTTATTATGTGTGTGTTTGTTATAAGTAAGGTGTGTCAAGATAGCTGGATAGAACTTTTTAACCTAACAGTTGGTGAGCTTGATTTATAATCTTTAAATATTTAGACATATGGTGTGTGGCCCTCCTTTTGAACTCTTGCCCTGGGCCCTGAAGTTGTTAGAGGCAGACATGCTATAACTAGCCAACATTTTCTTGAGGTCGAAGGTCAAACAAAACAGTAAAAATTAAAATATATAATAATAAAAATATTGTAAATTATAAATATAAATTCGCGTATATAGTTACTATTTCGTTTGACCTTCCTGAGTCAGTGTTTAAAAACCACTTTCACGTATATACAGACCTACGGGGATGAATTGAAACAAATTCATAGAGAAATAGCTTTTCTAAGCAACAATCGCCACTTTAAAAATATAGTAGGGAAAAGAGCACATTCAAAACCAGTAGAATCAAGTTTGTGTTTATAAGGAATCACAATCCCTATTAAAGAAATAAGAATTATAGATGGGGAAGGGGAGGATGGTGGGACTAACAAAGTTTATTGTGGCGCTGGCTGCATGTATATCAAAGATTACAAAATTGTACATTTAAAATATGTGTATATGTGTTTGTTTGGTGAACGTCAGTTATGCTGGAATAATGAATTGCTCCAAGAGCAGACAGTTGACTCAAGATGGAACAAAATAAGGTATTATTCTAGAAATTTGGGATCAGGACTAAGATTCTAACTTTAGTCTGGTTGGTTCCTTGAAAGAATATTTGTGGCAGAGCTCCTGGTATCTATACTTTTCACACCATATTTTGATGAATGAGAGGAAGCCATGGTGCATATAGATCCCATTTATATGTATAGAGAGATGCCATATGTATTCCTCAGTCATTGTGTGTAAAAAAGCCGGGGGATGGCTTTTTACCATAGTTTATGTTCGAAACCTCATTGAAAATCTACTACCTTCACAGGGTTCTTGCTCTAGTCATAGATTATGGAAATATCTACTGCAGTTCTAAATGCATTTTGTTTCCTTGTGCATTCTATCATTCCAACCATTTTGTGAACTGAAACAAAGTTAAAAATAAAGTGACAATTGCGGTTACTTTGGGGATGGGATTAACTGGGACAGGGAATCAATAGCTTTCTGGGTTGTTGAAAATGTTCTATATATTGATCTGTTCTGATTACATATGTGAAAATACATCAAGCTGTACACTTAAGATGTGTGTGCTTATGTTACATACCACAATACAAACAGAAAATAAAGAACCAGCAATTCTTGATTTAAAACAAACAAAACCTCTTAGTAAACTTCCTTAATATAGTTAAATACTATAGGAATACTTCCTTAATAAAATTTCTATTGCCTCTCTGAAGTAGTGGTGAAATAGTAACAGTAATCCCTACCCTTTGGCCACCTTTGAAAAGATAGTAAAAAACCACGAAAGAAAGTGGAGGGAGGTGAGAATGATCAGATGCACAAAAAAAGAAAGAAACACAATTTGGAGCACATTTGAATTCTTCATTCTAGTAGACTCCTGAGGTTTAGCTGCACCCCAACACTTAGGTCTGGTTACATACCCAAGCCTTCTAACTCCTCACCTAGCCCCCACCTCTGCTTTCTGTTTAATTGCATATTAAACAAGCTCAGGTGAACTGTTGTATGACTTTTGATCAAAAGAGCTTTAAGGGCCCTCCCCCGCCCCCCCCCCCCCCCCCCCCCCCGTTGGTGCAGCGGTTGAGCTCTGGGTTGCGAAGCTGCCCGTGGCCTCTGCAGCGCTGGTTCGATCCCTGGCTGCTCCCCGCCATCGGAGGCAAGTCCCACATGGCACGCAGACCTCTCCTGCCGCCCGCTGCTCCCCTCAGCAGTGTACTTCGGTCCTTCTGCCTGCTCTGCTCCCAGCTCTGGCTCTGGTGAATTCTCTCACCCTCCCGCGCTTCTGACTGTACCCAGTGCTTGTATACATCAATCAATCAATCAATCTTGTATAAATAAATAAATAAATTTTTAAAAAAAAAGAGCTTTAACTGGTCCTCTCTGGTGGCACAAGGGTTAAGTCTCAGTACTATGATGCTATCCACAGCCACTACAGCGTGGGTTCCATCCCTGGCCACTGCTCCACTAAGCAGTGTATTTCAGTAGATCTGCCTGTTCTGTTCCCCACTCTGTCTCTGGTGAATCCTCTTACCCCCACCCCCCACACCTCTAGCCTACACCCCAGTTTTTCTATGCATAAATAAATTTTCTTTAAAAAAGAGCTTTAACTATTGTGGATACAAAATCCCATTTATTTCTACTATCTTATGATATAATTTTAAATTTATATCACTGAGTTTGGTACTTACACCTCTCCACTTTCTGCTTTACTGTCTGTCCTCCATCACGCACACACACACACACACACACACACACACAAACACACACACACACACACATATCCCATCACCACACAGTCTGTTCTCATCTATT